GGAAGCATCGAAAGATGAGAAGCCCACAGAGGCACTCTACCCAGTCAGCCCTCCACCATCTCAGGAGGTGGCCTATGGGCAAGAACCAATGGACTGCAGGAAGAAGTCCAGGCGGCACTGTAGGCATTGGTCAAAGACAAGGCTCCCGGAATTGATGGCATGTCAGTTGAAATGATTCAATAAGCTGAGGAAGCACCGGAAGCCCTCAATCATCGATGCTAAGAAATTTGGAAGGAAAAACAAAAACAACAAAAAACAAAACCACCACCAACAAAAGGAGACCCACATTTGTACCCGTTCCAAAGAAAGGGGGCCTTGTTGGCGGGGAGGGTGACGGGCGCTCCCCACCAGCCGCTCCGGGAGCGGACTCCAGGAGGCTTGTGCCAGTCTCGGAACCCGCCGTCCGGGACGTTCACCTGTCCTGCAGGGCCGCTGCGAGCCGGCGCCGACGGGACGGCAGGGAGCGAGAGGGCAAGAGGACGACCCGCACCCACAGTTACCTCGGACTGTGCGCGGAGTCACGACGCCACCGGTTGCGAAACCATTCGGGTCCGGCTCCTTTAAGGGGCGGCGCTAGGAGGCCGTGATCCGCCTCCGTCCGTCAGAAGACCAATCAGCATCTCAAAGGGACAGGCCCCGCCCCCGCGTCTCCGCTTTCCCCTTAGGAAAGTAAATGCGTTTGGGCGCCGTTCAAACCGACCAATGAGTGCCCGACGTTTCCTGCCATTGGCCTCGCTGATTGGTCAGAATGTGTCGTCCCGCCCTTCTCACCGCCCCTCCGCGCACAAGATGGCGGCGCCCAGCGGAGTAGAGGCTGCGCTTGGGACGCGGCGCTGAGGCTGACTCCCTTCCCCGTTGGACGCGGAACTCTGCGAGCCTCTGAGACAGGGGCCGGGCGGGGACGGGGGCACCTGCATAGCTGGACCGCGCCGCCGCGCCCAGCCTGCGCCGCCCCGACCCGGCCCCGGCCCGGTCCTGCCCTGCCCTGCCCAGCCTCTTCTATCTCCGGCCTCCTCCGGACCTGACCCTCTGCCTGGCCCTGGGACGCCGCTGCCAAGCTTCCAAAGCCGAGGTGTGCCCACCAGCCCGAGCCTACGTCCACCGTAGAGTTGTTTGGTGCGGTCGCCCCAAACAGCTGGCTTCCAAAACCAGGACCCCTGGGCTGCCATCTGGGTTCCCTTTCCACTGAGACCCGACCTCCCGGGAACCCATTTCGTCCTTAGATTCGTGCCTCTCCCAGGGTTAGAGACTGCTTGCTCCCCTCTCCAATCATCCGCCACCTGCCAAGACGTTGACGCTGCTGACCTCGCCCCCAGACTCCCTTGGGGGCTTTCAGCGTCCACCATGGAAGCTGTGTACCTGGTGGTGAATGGGGTGGGCCTAGTGCTGGACGTGCTGACCCTGGTGTTGGACCTCAATTTCCTGCTGGTGTCCTCCCTGCTGGCTGCTCTCGCCTGGCTCCTGACCTTCATCTACAACCTCCCGCACACGGTGCTCACCGGTCTGCTGCACGTGGGCCGCGGGGTCCTCTTTTCACTGCTGGCCTTGATTGAAGGCTTGGTCCGGTTTGCCTTTGGAGGCCTGCAGGCCTTGTGTACTTTGCTGTACAGCTGCTACTCGGGCCTGGAAAGCCTGAAACTCCTGGGCCACCTGGCTTCCCACGGGGCCTTGCGGAGCCGGGAGATCCTACACCGAGGCTTCCTCAATGTGGTGTCCAGTGGCCATGCCCTGCTGCGCCAGGCCTGTGACATCTGCACCATTGCCATGAGCCTGGTGGCCTACGTGATCAACAGTCTAGTCAACATCTGCCTCATTGGCACCCAGAACCTCTTCGCCCTGGTGCTGGCCCTGTGGGAGGCAGTGATGGGGTCCCTGTGGAGGATGACAGACGTGGTGGCCGCCTTCTTAGGCCACATTTCCAGCAGTGCTGTGGCCACGGCCATCCTCCTGTGGACACCCTGTCAACTTGCACTGGAGCTGCTGGCCTCAGCCACCCGCCTCCTGGCCAGCTTCGTGCTGGTCAACATCACCGGTCTGGTGCTGCTGGCCTGTGTGCTGGCCGTCACGCTAATTGTGTTGCACCCCGACCTCACCTTGAGGCTGGCCACCCAGGCCCTCAGTCAGCTTCACACCTGGCCATCCTACCACCGGCTCCGAGAGGATGTGCTGCGGCTGTGCCGCCTAGTGATGGGCTTAGAGACCTGGCGCCAAGTCTGGAGCCGCAGCCTGCAGTTGGTGAGCTTTCCAAACCGAGGAGGGGCCCCTGGTGCCGCCCAGGGGGGCCCTAGGCGGGTGTCCTCAAACAGAACCCGGGGACAAGAGACTCCTGCGGCCAGGCCCACATCAGAGGCAGAAGAAGAAGCGGACAGAGCATCGGCATCTGCCCGCGGCAGGGAGAGACTCAATGAGGAGGAGCCTGCCGCTGCCGCCGGGCAAGACCCGTGGAAGTTGTTGAAGGAGCAAGAGGAGCGGAAGAAGTGCGTCATCTGCCAGGACCACAGCAAGACGGTGCTGCTCCTGCCCTGCCGGCACCTGTGCCTGTGCCAGGCGTGCACGGAAATCCTGATGCGCCACCCCATTTACCATCGCAACTGTCCGCTCTGCCGCCGGGGCATCCTGCAGACGCTCAACGTCTACCTCTGAAGGTGCCCCACCTGCTCCCCACTCCTCCACGCTGGCTGGCACCTGGCCTGGGGCTCCTCCCTGCTCCTGGGGCTATCAGGCCGGGCAGCTAGGACGTCAAGATGGGCACTCTGCAGACTATGGGGGGTTGGTGGTAGGGCACCATGCCTCGCCTTACCCCGAGGATGCCTGTGATGCTCTGAGTGGTGAGTGCGCCACTATACAAGGGCCCCGGGGCCTGCCTCCCACCTGCCCAGGGTCCCCTCCGATGCCAGCCCCTCGGGCTTCTCTGCTCCAGCTCCTCCTTGAGATTGGCAAGCCCTCTCCGGTGCCTGCCTCAGTTCTCCCTAGCTTCTGCAGCCACAACACACTGGCATGGTCATTCAGGTATTCTGGCAGGATCCTAAACTTCAGGGTTCAGCCAGAGCCGCCCCCGCATCTGGCAGGCTTTGGGTGTAGAACTTCTCAACTACCATGCACACCTGTCAGGGTCGTAGGAGGCTGCCTCTCCACCCAGGGCCAAGAGCTGGGATAAAGAGATCATCCCTGGAATTGGGGGTGGGGCAGCTAAGTGATACTTGGCTTTGGGACCACGTACCTTCTGGCACCCCAGCTCTACAGGGGTCCCGGGGTGCTGACCAGATTTCGACTTGTACATTTTTAACTCACTCCCCACACCACATGGAAAATGGCATTCCCTGGTTGGTCTGTCCCTGGCACCAGGGTGGGAGGGCAGACTGCACAGTTCACTAGGGTCCAAACACAGGAGGGGTGGGCCCAAGGGGCATGCCACTCCCCAGGGCACCGGCCCGGCACCGCTTCCAGTGAATAAAGTTCTGTTGACAACTCAGATGGTCTCTGTGTACCCTGCAGGGCGGGCAGCTGATCCAGGGCACTGAAGCTGCAGCAGGCCCTGAGCCCTGCTGGAGTCTGCAGGGAGGTCTGGGGGACCTGGGTGCCAACTGGAGCGGGGAGAAGAGAGAGCATGTGGTGGTGGTGCAGAGTTGAGTGCTTCGCCTGTAACTGGCAGGTTGGAAATTCAAGTTAATTCAGAGGTACCGTGGGAGAAAGGCCTGGCAGTCTACTGAGGGGGAGTTGAACCAGCCATCAGAAACCCTGTGGGCTGCTTGGGGGTGCTATGCATTGGTGTTGACTCCATGGAAATTAGTTTTGTGGCTGCTCAGTCACGGTGTGCTGAGTGGGAGTGGGCATGTTGTGGAGGGGGTGGGGAGGGGAGGGAAGCTTTCACTGTTTTTGACCAACTCTGAACTCAAACTCATGGCTGTCAAATTGATTCTGACTCGGCGATGCTGGAGAGCAGGGTCAACCTGGCCGGTGAGTGTCCCAGACTAATTCCTTATGGGAGTAGAAAGCCCCATCTTTCCCCTAAGGAGCACTTGGCTGCTGGTGGTTTCGAACTGCTGACCTTTTGGATTGAAGCCCAGCGTGGTTGAGACCCACAGGGCCAGTTCTCCCCTGTCCTCTAGGGTTGCAGAAAGTCAAACCTGTCCAGCAGTGCGAGTCCTAACTCTTTTGTGTTGGGTGGTGGGACCCTCTCCAGCAACGCTGCTTCCATCAACATTGCAGCTAAGAAACCTCCTAATAAGGAACGAACGGGAGGGGGCTTCAAAAGCAGGGAACGTGAAATGGAATGAACGGACTCCCCCTTCCCCCAACACACACTCTGACATAAGAGTTAACAGCTGTGCGGCTGGTTCGAGGTTTGGGGAGCTTTTTCCTTGCGCCAGCCTTTCTGGCTCCCCCTGGGCCTGAGGTCAGATCTCCCTTGGATCCCCGGGGGAGAGGGGGTAGTGGTTGCCCTTGTGTCTTGCAGGCTATCAGGGGCTGGACTCTGGCTGTCAGACCCCATGGTGACGGGCTAGGGGCTGAGTCCCAGGACTCTAGCGCTCCCCTGGCACTCGCCCTCCCTCCCAGGGCCACAAAGGGCAGATGGCGTCCCCTCCTAAGTTGTCTGGGGCCCCCAGGGGTCTGCCCTGTGGAACCCGGCTGGGTGGGTGGGTGGGTGGGGACAGGTCAGGAAGAAGCCGTGTGTTCTCTCCGGCTGAGAAGCTCCGCACGTGGCGTTTGGTTCTCGCGGACAGCGACAGCGGTGGGGGCTGGCCGGGCTGGGGTCGAGGACGTGTGTAAGGGTGCTCTAGGCCATGCCGACTCGGCACAGCAGCGAAGGAGTCCCGCGCCTCCTGAGTCCGGAGGGCTGGACTCTCTCCCCTCCCCCCAGCCCCTTGCTGGAGACGGGATAATCTGCCCGGGGTGGGGGTGGGAGCGGCGGGGTAGAGGGAGGCACGGCTCCGTCCTGTCTCTGTTTAATGCAGAGATAAACATTCTCGGAGAGAAGATAAACTTCCGGGGCTGGGAGCAAAGGACCCCTTTTAGCCCGCCCTGCCTGGGATTCCACGGACTCCCCCCTCGCCA